TCTCCACAGCTTACCCCATCTGCAAGACTTAGAAAGTTAACCTGGAAAAAACGGCATGAGAATATCCATTTCTGCCAGCTCCATTGATCTAGCTGAAATCTAAATCCTGGCTGTAACTACTTGTGGCACATTAATGGTCTGAAAGCAACACAGTCCACACTGAGTCCTCCTTGTCTAGCTATGTGAAACAAGCCTCTTTGCATGCTGAATGGGAGGTGGGGAGGAATGGCATCTGTAACCACAAAGCCTGGGGAAGGGGGTACAAGGTAGCACCATTCTTTTTCTGTTTATTACGCCCAAATTATTTATATGATTTTGTCTCTCCTCTGTGCTATTGTGCAGAAAATAATGGTTTATTATTGAAATGTCATGGCTTTTAGTGGAGCACCTGTGTATGAGGAAGCCTAAAGCTCTTCATTAAAGGGATGTGGTTGAACTTGCAATATTGCAGAAATAGTAAATTTTCATAAAAGATTGGGGCACATGAGTGAGAGGTTTTACCTTTGTAATAATCTCGAAAGGAAGGCCAGTCTGCAGGTCACTAAGATTCCCTGGTAGGCTCTGGCTATATATTTAATTTAGTGCTGTTCTGTGTCTTTCTGTATTTGACAAACCTTCAACCTGCTCCAACTCCAAGAGAAGAGGAGGAGGAATTCTCTTAGTTCCCAGTTTCTAAGCTGTTCTCTTGCAAATTTTGATGGATTTCATTGGCTCACTTTTAATGTTCCAGTATTGGCTTTCCCATGGCATGTCAGAAGAAATGCATGAAAAAGAAAGGATCCAAAGGCAGAGCAAGAATAAAAAGTGGAAATTATAGGGAGAGACTGTGTGGCAGAAGGTAGCAGGATAATTAAAATATATTAAAGGCCCATAAAAAGAACTTGCTTGTATGCTTGTATTCTCTTAGCTCTTTGCATTGATTCAAAGGTTGAAGTAAGGATGAGATCTGAAAGTATGAAGGTGAGAATACTTCACTGTATATTTATCAAATTGAGTAGTCACTGGTAGTTGGATTGAGATTTAAGCTGGATCAACTGTACTAATAGAAATAAGCATTCCCTGCTTCTTACAGCAGCTCCTCCAACCTCCTGAAAATGCTATAACATGTCAGGAGAATGGAGTGAGCTGTAGTGTAAGGGAAGAGGGTTCCCAAAAATATAGGAGAGGGACCGTCAATGAGCAGGACCCTTCCTTTCACAGAAGATTCCTTCCTCTTAACAGAAAGCAGATCCTGGATCCACCCTGAGAAACAAGAGTTGCTTTAGAATTTACATATTGGCTTAATCAGTAATTTAACTTGCTTTACTACTCAATCTATGGAATGCGCTCCCCAGAGAGGTCCGCCTGGTGCCATCGTTATTTGTTTTTTCGGCGCCAGGCGAAGACCTTTTTATTTAAACATCATTTTAATTGCTAATATTATTTATTTATTTTGCATCTTTGGCCAGGATGTCTCCAATTATATTGTTTTTATATTGTTATTATTTATTTATTGTTGTGAGCTGCCCCGAGGCTTCGGCGAATGGGGCGGCATAGAAGCTTTCTAAATAAATAAATAAATAAATAAACATACATACATACATACATACATACATACAGTGGGGGATCCCATAGTAACTGCCTAAGTGGCAAATGTTTTTGCTTGTGCTACAAATATAAGGGCAAGTGGCTCTTTCCATGTTCAGTTTGGTGCAGTGTAGAATCCATGTAAGTTCTACTGGGTGTAGCTGATGGGGCTTCAATTAAGGACTCCATGTGTTCAACAAGTATAGTCCTGGCTAGCGCCAAGCCTGACTCGAGGCCTGCCGTTAAAGCCTTGGCTTCTTATAGTAGTAGTTCTGGTATGTACCTAAAATTGTTTAAGGATCTGTCAGATTTTGGGAGTCTCTCAAAAGGAATTTTTAAGGAGGAGTGCAAGATTTTTAGCTGGGACATGATCAGAACTATGCTCCAGTAAAATTTCACCCACTTTGACCACAAACCCCCATTTTTAAGGAATCCTAAGTTATGACAGCTACTTTTCTCAGAGCCAACAGAAACTCTTGACAAAGGGAAACTTTGTCTTTTTCATGGCGACTATAGGAGGGAACCTGAAAAAGATTTAGATCTTGCTGGGAAAGTAGCGTACTTGTACCACAACACCCCTTTCTTTTCAGAAGATTGCCTGGTCCTTTGCTTTAAATGGGCGACTTGCCTATGGCAAGCTGTCAAGAGAAAGTGAGGGGAGGAAGAGAATAGCCCCCCACACACACACACACCTGTATTGCCCCAGCTGAGGCTAGAAACCCCAGTAGGGTGATTTGGCTCCCAAATGAATGTGAATGTGTGCAAAATTATCCGAGAAATTTTACAAAAAATGCATTGTTTTGTGCATGTCTGTATGCACAGAAATTAAACCAAGTGTTGGTCAGCCCTGGGAAGCTCCTCCAGTGTGCTGCTGGTGCACTTTGAAGGAGCAGCTTAAAGCTGCCAGCACAGGCATCAGGAAAACTGGTTGTCAAGGCAGATTTTGTCATCTCTGGAGTGGGAGTGTAAAGGGCCATTTTAAGCCAAAAGCAGCTCCACATCATGGTGGAGAATGAGAGAAGCAAATGCCAGCAACTTCCTCGAGTGCTGCTTTGGCATGTAGGTGGCCATGGCAGTGACCAGGGCTCGCTTGGGAACGGTGGCAAGGGCTGGCGGGCTCTCTCTTTCTCAAATTTGTTTAAAGCCTGGGATTTAAACACAGTCTTGGGGCAGCCATTACAATAAAATTAGCAATAGGTAATATGAATAAAATAATGCAATTAAAATACAAAAGATAAAATAACATATTAATAAACAAGAATAAAACTTAAGTTAGTAAATTAAAACTGGAGCGAATTGATGCAAAAATAATCTAAGTGGTGCCAGAGGTGTGCCAGAGAAGAAGAGTTTCTGTCTGGAGCCTAAAGCTCAGCAGAGTAGGCACCTGACGCATCTCTGAAGGTAACGCATTCCATGCTTGGGGTGCCAGCACAGAAAGGCCCCCCTCCTTGCAGCCTCCCCCTTAACCTCCTTTGGGGGAGAAACTCATAGCAGAGCTGCCATTGATGACCTTAAACGATGGGCATGAATATGTGGAGTAAGACGCTCCCTAAGATAATGTGGACCCAAGCCATTTAAGCTTTTATATGTCATAGTCAAGACCTTGAATGCAGCCTGAAGTCCAAGAGAGAGGTGTAATATGTTCATAGGAACGAGTCTTTGTCAGCAACTGCTGCTCTTGCCAAGTGGGTCTCTGGCCTTAGGACTCCACTGAAAGTGGGCAAGTTTGTTTGGGTTTAGACAATATGGCAGCCCTCCATGAGTAAAACAAACACAAGAACATCCCTTGGGTTCTCATCAAGGGTTTCCTGGGCTGGGTTTGCGTGATGTAACAATCAACTGTTGACTTTTAATCATTGGTTGTCATGTTGAGCAAATCAGTACCCCCACCTTATGCAATAGATGCTTTGCCCATAGATCTGTTATACAAATGAAGATTATCTCACACCAGGTATGAAGCTCAGTGATTCACAAACCAGATCAACTATCTTAAACCAACAAACTACATTGTAAAACTCTTCAGAAGAAAACATTTATAAGCTAGAAGTCTTGATGGGAAACTTTGGTTTTTTACTGATGTTGTTCTCAGCTTTGCATAAATAGATTGCTTTCATAGAACTCATCTTGCCCATAGAATCAAATATGGCCACGGAGAGATCTATCTAATATTTCCATAGAAAAATCAAGAGTCCTGAAAGACAGATTTAATGTTCAAGTAAACCTTCACAAAAATATGTTGTAGCCGGGTGTTTTCAAATAGAGTTGTAGTATCAAAATATTTTGCAAGCCTATTAGTGTGCTTTGCCCTTTCCATGCAGTTTTCCTGATGAGTGCAACACAACAACAACAAACAAAACAGAAACAAAACCCCCCCACCCACGGTTTCCTCAGACAGCTGTTTCCAGTGAAATGAGGTTGAAATGTGTTACGATTTAAGTGTAGTTCTGTAGCTATGAGGACTGCAAGATTTTTGGATAGCAATGCTAAGTAGGTGGAGGTTTATAAACTGAATACATAAATTCAAAATGTTAGCAGGGCTTTTGGGGAGACTTTCCTACTAGAGAGAAACAATGTTGAATATGGGTAAATAAGGGGACTGGCTTAACAGCCTTCTGTTGAGTAGTGGTTCTTACTGCGTCCTTCCACATGGAAATTTGTCTTCTACCTTCTGGTTATGTACATTTCTTTTAAGCCATCTGTTTCATACTGGAAACAAACTAGAATTCCACTGTAGCACAGAGAGATGAAATTGACCTGTTCAGTTCCAGCTGTGCATTTAGGGGGACTACTTCCTAAAACACTGCCTCTTTCTTGCAACTGTAGACTCTTGAACATTGGTGTCCAACATCTAACTGTCCCCTTGCTTTGTCCGTGCTATGCCTTAGCTACTGTGGGAACTGCTACATTCTGGGGCAAGGGCTTCCAGACTGCTTCGTCAGGCTCTTTGCATATCGATGGCTGGAATCTTTCCACTGCTACCCTCTAGCGGCTGTCATGCCTTACTGCAGTGACAGCAGCACAGTGGGTGAGGCAAATGAAACAAGCAGAGAGAAATCAATACACAGAAAGCGAGACTGGGAAGAAGTAGAAGGGAGGAGTCGTCTCATCAGCCATTCTTGTCTTACAGGGTCCCAGCTGTCATTGGTAAAAGAGGAGGGAGGGAGAGGATTTACTATTGTGCGAAACAAGAGGGAGGGGGCAAGACGAGGGGAAGAAGAGGAGAGGAAGGAAGCACCATTTGTTTCACCTGAGCTTGAGCTTCTTTGCAAGCTGGTGTTGCTCCTGGGTTGGAGGGTAGGAGCCAGTTCTGCCCCTGCAAGAACAACCACGCATCATGTCTGGTTACCAGGGCAAGAAAAACATCCCCAGGATAACGGTGAGTAGCTTAATGCCTCTCCCCACACCCCGGCTCTTGCTATTTATGCACGACCGTTAATTTGTTTTGTATTCGTTTACTCCACCCCACCATATACCCGCTGCTTCACTCTGTTTCATAAGAAGTTGGTGCATAATTGGTTTAGAGGTTTTGTATGTTTATGAAGAGGAATATTATATAGCTAGTCAGTTTGCAGAAAGGGCGGTGGTGCATGCGGGGAGGACTCCATGTAGGCAAATCTTGGATTTTTGTTAATCTGCGCAATTAAAGGGTGTAAGAATCTCCATTGTCTCATGCTGTTAAATTATTGTTTAGCAAACCTTTGTGCAAAACAGCGATCAAATTCCCTTTTCAACCACGTCTGTGGAGAATAGTGTGGATTTCGTGACATTCTGTTTTTCAAACCTGCTTAGTGGGAGTGTGTGTTCCTCCTCCTCATTCAGTTCAGGATGTTTGATCACTTTTTTCATGCTTTGAAGAGACCCTGTCTTTCTGGGAGGAGCTGATCTGACCGAGTCAGGCTGACTTTTAAAGCAGACCGCTTGTGATTCTTCCTCTCCCCCCTTTTTTTGGTTGTATCACCACTCTTTTTTAAGCAGGAGCACCGGTATGCTCAAGTTGCCTACTGCATAGTTTTGTTTGCTGCATATTTGGGTGCGTCATGTGCCTTGACTCGGGTAGGGAAACAGAGAAATGATTCCCCTGTGAAAGTGAAAGCCTTGATATACAAACAAGTACAAAAAAAGGATTCCTCCCCCCCTGCATCTGAATAGGGGGCAGGGGTTGTTTGTTACCATGGAAGAAAAGGTATCTGATGGAGAGCCTGAAAATGAAATTGTGTGCAAAATTTCAGTATTTTGCATCTTTCTTGGTGTGTACCGTGCAGATGCATTTCCAGTGGCTTCATACTCCACCCTGATTTATTCTTGATGCAGTGAAATGCTTTGCAATGGGGGTACCCCTCAGTCTTTAATAGGCCTGGGGTTTATTGTTGCTGGTTTCAGATGCAAGGAGTGCAGCTGTGCTTTGTCTCCAATGCATTTTAATGAAATCTTTTGTGGGATAGGGTATGCATTGGGGGAACGGGTGGCTACTCCATCTTTGAGGCAAACAAAGGAAGCACAACCAAGCACACAGAGGGAGGGAGGGAGAGAGGGAGGGAAAAAAGAAGCTTGGCAGATACAATGTTTTCTAAGTCTACCTGTTTAGCAGGCTTATAATTTCCCAGAATGTTTCAGTTTTTGTTGGGATTTACAAATCATCTTTTGGTTGAACCATTTCTTTGACTTACTAATTTCTTCATTTTAAAACATTCTTATAAAATTGAAAATCATTAATTCTTGTTGTGGTGTATGAAGCATATTTCGCTACCTGTGACCCTAAATAAAGGAGCTATCCTTAACCAAAGAAGCCATTTTTTTCCTTGTCAGAAAAACCATTTATTCCTTTATTCATTCATTTATTTTTGTTCCTTCTTGAGTCAGACATTTTTCTGTTAAGGTTTGATATCCTGAGGATCCCAGTCCAGACACTTGGGACTAATCATAGAATAGAGTAGACATAGACAATACCTTACTTCGCACTTCTCCATTTTGTAGAATAATGAATTATTTGCTTTTAACATTGTTTATTTTATTTAATATCTCAAGTTAAACCCATTGGGAACCAATCCTTTTAATATTTAAACCAGTTATCATAATAATACAGCCCTAAGGAGCTTAGGTAGGCAGGTGCCAAGAGCAATATTGTGCAGTAGCCATATAAAAATGGTGCATTTTCTTCTCTTTTGGGGTGACCTACATTAGCTAAATCCTATGATACTGTTTTCTTTTGTGCTACTGCACCTGACTGCAGCAGTTTTGCTTCTCTGGGGTTCTGTGCAGAATGGCCACACCTACCTTGGTATTCAGCATATCCAATGCTTTCTTTGAAACAGCAGGAAGTCCAGCTGCATCAGGGGGCTTGGTCACCAACCCTTATGTTTGGAGCTCGTATGTTGGCCATCTCTGGTACATGCCCACTGCTCTGTGGAATCTTTTGCTCTGTGAATCTAGTTTTTGCAATTTTACTGTGGTTCTTTTATTGATGCTGTTTTACATTGCTTTATGTGCTATGACTGATTGAAAATGTTGGGTTAGAAACACTGAAAATAAATAGACTTTCTGAGAAGATGATACTATGCTTTTTAGAATTATCTCTCATTCTCAGCAGCACTGTGTTGAATTATGTTATTTTAAAAAACAGTTTCTGATCATGTAAGCTGGAAAATGGCTTTTTCCTGTGTACCCTGATATTGTTATATACTTAGCGGTTATGTACAACATATTGACTGCATGATCCAGTAATAGAAAAGTAATGGAAAATTGCACATTTGTGGGAGTATTCCTTCATCAACATTCAAGATGTAATTCCTCTGCAGACCAGGCACTCAGAAATTGCTTTATTAGGTGTGATGCAGCACCCACTTCTCAAAAGGATCTGTCCCCCCTGCAATCTGTAGGGTGTGTCTCTTGATCCCATTGTACACTTCAGCATGCAACTAGAAGTAAATGGGAAAGGATGTCGGGTGGCTCCTAATCAATATGCTCAGGGCATTAATTGCCAAATGTGAACAATGCTGGCTGTGCACAGCCCAATTTTTTTCTGATTTGGCAGGTTGACGACCACGTGATTGCAGCACTGTGGGAAAAACACCTGATACCCAGAAAATGCATTCTAAGGTAGAAGAACAATGATCAGCTGGGTCATTAACTAAAGTCCCATTGTTGTCATTGCTGGTAATAAATGCCACTGCTGGCAGTCAGTGTTGGTATAAAGTAAAGGTATACTTCCACAGGTAGTATAGCCTGATTATATGTGTGAAGCTTTTACCTAAAGGCAAGCATTGCTATTTATGATTGTCCATTATGACTAAGGCAAAATCTTGGGGAATAAAAGTGTTATTTGATTGACTCTCAAGCACACTAAGACACACTTCAAAGCCTGTGCAAAATTTTGATCTTGTTTATTGTTGAAAAGCAATTTGATGAAATGCAGATGGGAGAGACACTGTTTCATGCTGGCATTTCTGAGCAGCGGCTGTACTTCCGACATGTTCTGTGGACTCTGTCACTGTGGTTATATGAACGGTATGGCTCCTCTACATCTGTAATGAGGAAGACAGTGAAGTGGCTGCACAGGAGGAGTTGAATAGAAGGAGCTAGCCTGAGCCTGTTACCTGAGCCTGTGATTATCTATGGTGATGGCAATATTGAAGATTTGATGGGGAAAATCCGGCACTTTTAGGTGAGACAAAGATTATATTAGCAGTATTCATGTAACATGCTCTGAAGTGTCTATTTCAGAACTAAACTAGCACAACCATCACTGCTATGTATTTAAAAAAAAAAAACCTAAAAATCTTGCTAGTTAAAATGACAGCACTCAAGGCAGTTACTGAATATTGCATACAGTGTTAGGACCAGATTCAATCACTTTGAATTTGGAATATTTTGTGTTTCATCCTGTTCAGAGGGTTCATTGAATGTTGTCATTTCTATTTTTGGCAGAACAATGTCCAAATATAAAGTGTCAGCTCTGTGCTTTGGCTTTTAGACCGCCCTTACTCTCTTCTTGGTGTATATTAGACATCTCCTATCTCCATAATATACCTCTGTGTATAAAACGATGCTATGGGGGTAGAGATGGTGGGTCCCTCTGTTAGTGTGGATCCCAACATGGAGCCCATAGATACCCTAGATTCTTATTTTTTTATTTTCCAGTTTTTGATATATATGTACATGGATTTATATAAAATGGATATAACTTTCTGGAAGCTATACATAGGCTTCAGGAACAGTGGACTGAAAAGCTGAATGGGTTGATGTCTATATTCTACCCTTTCATATTTCAAAAGTAAGGTTCTCCGCCTACTATATTAAGGGAGATAAGTGTAAGATCTGTGTTTTAGCTGTGTGGCAACCTTACTTCTGCATAGAATCCCATCTAAAGATGCAAGGTCTGGAGCAGCAGTATCTGCTGGGATCAGCTGCTACAACCAAGAATAAAGGGAACCTTGCCTGTCTGGTTTCCAGGTACTTCTTGGGCCCTTGAGAATGACTGACCCTATGTGGTCCTGTGTTGGGTTTCTTTGCTGTCCACCTTTGTCCTTGGAAGAACATAGCCAGATCGCAGGCTTTACATGAAACAGAGCAGTATGACCCAGACATGTGATGTGCCTCTTGTGAGCCTCCCTGCTTTCACCCCAAGACAGGCTATCCATGTTTTGGTGAAAACAGGGTAAAATACTAAGATTTCATGTATGAAAAGGATGGAATTATAGATTGTTTCCAGTATAAAAGATACAGTATGAAAAAAAGGTTGGTTAGGTTCTGAGCACACAAAAATGAGACAAATCAGTTTCAGTGCACAAAGCAGTAGGCATTTGAAGTAGCAGATCAGTAGCAAAGAACAAAGGAAAGGCAAATTTTCCATCCATCTAGCAGTTCCCTGCATTAAGCTGTCTTGCTGGTTTCTTAAATGCAAACTATGGGACAAAGTTCTTCTGGCCCCTTTATCTGGTTTTCCCTACTTGGTTTGGTTAATATCTGTCAATTGTCAGGTAATAGTTCATTTCCAGTTCTGAGGTGGGCACTGCAAGATTTTTATTATTGAAATATGTGGAGAGTTTACGATTGAATAGCTTGGCTAAATGGCACACTTGGCCTACAGATCCTCTCAGCCAAATCATCTGTATAGCAATGCCAGCAGCAGGTGACCTGGCTTTTTGCTTAAGCAGAGAGCTGCAGCTGCTTACAAAAGGGAGGTGTCTGCCCTTGGACATAGGTAAAATGTAGTCAGCATGGTTTGGTTCAGTGGACCACTCCAGGCCAACCATAACAAGGGCACAAATAATCTGTTTGTTCTATAGAATTCCTTCTATTTGTTAATTTTCATGAAGCGGGTAAATAAGTTAAAGGAGTGCATACATCGGTGAATATTAAAGACTGTTCTAGTACAAAATTTATCCGTGTAAGAATATCCTTGCTGAAAGAAGCAACTACTGGGCTATTCCAAAATGTGTTGAAAAAGGGAGCATTAGCTGTATTGCACTGAATAAGTGGTTTGCTGAATTGGACACCCCTTTATTAAAGAGGCACTGTCCAAAGAGACATAAAATAAAAGGTTTTGCTGAACACAATGCATGTTAAAATCCACAGATGTGTCAGGCAGGTGCCAAAACAACAATCCACTGATTGGACATTTTGTGGTGGTGTCCACAGCAGTTTCTCAAATTTCCAAATGAGCCCATAGGTCCAAAAAGGTCAAGAACCCTGCTATAGAGGGCGTGGCCATTATAAGCGGATGAGCTATAGCCCAGTTTCCACTGGGCACTCAAGAGTTCAGTTTTCCAGTAGTAATCACACCAGCAGGGGAGCACATGATAGGTGCCTGAGTCACTGCACAGCAACATTTAGTTGCCTGCACAGTTCCCAAGGATGGCGGCATTTGCACTGACTTTGTGTGTAAGAGAACAGCAGTACTGTTCTCTTGAAGACAGAGAGGTATAGTTAACATTACAGTACTTTTGTAACATTTCGTTCAGTAAGAGAAATGCCATTTAAATCCCTGGTCAGTTTCCAAGCAGCATGCCTTGTGAATTTTAAATATGGAATGTACTATCTCTCTGACTGAATGCATCTGTTTCTTTTCTGAGAAGAATCTTGAAGCATGTGCCTAGCTAATGTCAACACATCAGGTGATCTGTGCTTCAGAGAAGTTGGAATTGTACACAGAAATATATCTGAGCATTATCCAGTTTTTTAAAAGTAATACATGATGGCAGGATGAATAAAATATTTTTAAATTAAAAATCAGATTTTTAATATTAAAATTGAATTTCTTTGATTTAAATTGAATTTTTAAAATAAAATGCTTTTTGAGGAAAAATCCATATAAAGATAATTTTCTGTTTAAGATACACTCTAGTCCAAAGGTTATTCATCATGAAATAAGGATTAGTTTTTAACTATGTAGCATGAGGCTATATATTCATGCAATGTTTAAATTTGTTGGTAAATGAATTCACAATGCCATGTTCTTCCAGAGGTTTTTGTATGCTTAGTGGGCAATTTTTCTATCTAGAAGATATTATCACAGGTTTCAAAACTGTGAATTTTTGTCTGCAGAGATCACATGCCTCTTCTTCACAATGAAAATGTTGTAAAATAAACATACAAAATTGAGAAAAGACCTTAATTCCTTTGTTTCTTTGCAAATATGTGTACACAGAATCAGTCCACTGCTTCATAAGTGCTAAGTTTCAAAAAACTCAGCAAATAGAAGATTTTTGGAAGTGGAATAGATCTGCACAAGAAGTGAGGTGTGAGGAGGAAGGAAGGGGCAAGCAGTAAAAATGAAAGTGAAAAGCAGAATACTGCACAAGACTTTGGATCTTTTTGTGTGTAGCCTGAAGTTTATATCATATTATTCTTTCCCTGGAGGAGAAAACCTATAATGGCAGCAGACCATAAAAGAGACCCAATTTGGAAATAAGGAAGTGCATGCTAGGTAGAGGAAATGTTCCTCTACCTAGCATGCATGCAAATTATGTAGAAAACCATGATATAAATCTAGTCTTAGTGACTAGTGATTTAAATCAAATCCACCTTGTATGATGGTAGATAAGGCTGTGTAATTTAATATACACATCCCAGAGCAGCTAGCGTATGGTTGCAAGACAGTGATCTATCCAATTAATTCACATGGCCAAACTTGCTAAAGTTCCACATCACTGTGAGACCATTCTCTGGCCAGCTTTTTCCATGGTACGGAATGGTTATGTGGAATATTATGCACTTTCCAATTGAAAAGTGATTTTCATGGAGTGGGATTGCAGGGTTGGGGAGGGAGGAGAGAGAGAGAGCGTGTTATGCAAATCTTAAAATGATTTAATGGTAGATTATCTGATACTTCGACACATGAATGTACTTTTGGGACTCAGACCTTTTGGGACTCAGACCTAAGAATCCATGAAAATGTAATGTAGGAGACAGGATATACAAGTTATGGAGATTCTCCAATTATTTGATTTATTTGGGTCTCTTATCCAAAACTGTTATCCAAAAGATGTAGTTCATCTGTTTTTCATAGATTTTTTTGATATGAAGTCCTGAGAATCCACCAAAATCCTTCAAAAATGAGGAATGGACCTGAAATCAGGCTGGGAAAAAAAGATAAAAACTTCTTGTTCTAAGTTCTAATGCTGGAGATGCAGTCTATTTCTCCCCAGTGTTTATGTTTGTAGAACTATCAAATAGAACTGTCTCCTAGGTATGAGTTTCTAGTAGAGAAGGCATCCAACCCTTCCACTACTAATATTTTACCCTGATTATTATGCTTTGTAAAGTTCATAACATAACAGGTCTCTAGCTTGAACTACACAAACAAGCCTTAGATGCCTTTTAATTGAAAATGTATGCAGAATATATCTCCCTGCCCTGAGCAGAGGTTTTACAGAGATTCCGAGATTCCTTCCAACTCTGTTTTTCAAATACTTTCCCATGGAGAAAAAAGCAAAGTGTTACAACATTTGTGCTAAACTTCTGGGTTTTGGTGCTGTGATGACTTCATTTCAAAGGAAAAGGCGGCGATCAGTGAATTGTGATCAGTACTTGGTGGGCTGGTTCACCAATCATGCTAAGTCACTCTGTTAATAAGTCACTATGGACTGTTGTCTGCTAAACAACCCATGATACCGCTGACAAACAATGATGCTTGCTGGGGCTTGTTCCCAACGCCCACCCCCATTCTCTCTCAGCCCTCCTGTCAACCAGCACAGGTACCTTTGTGGCAGAACTCCTTACTGCGTCTAGTCCTGCATCAGCAAGCTTTTGCAGTTGGTTGCCAGGCCCCAAGGGAAACTCAGGAAACTCAGGATTGAGAGTTTCCCTTGGGACCGCGCAGCCATCAGATGGCCAAATGGAATTAATTTTTAGAGGCCTTATGAATGCAGCTTTTGTTGCACTATAGGGCAGGACTGACTCGCTGATATTTAACCCCACATACTGAAATCACTCCCTTGTCAATGCCTTGATCAATTCCATATTTCATTTTCCATTTTGGAGCTTGCCTGCTTAAAGGCCTTGTCACTGTAGGTTGATGTAAGAGCAGCACTCTCAAAGAGGCTTCTCACCAGCAACTTTTGGCTCCCCAATCCACTGCTTACTCCCACTAGTAAAACACTTCATTTTACGCTATAGTAAGAGTATCTTCTTGCACAGTTCCTTCCCTCCACCCTCTTTTTG